ATAAATATTACTCTGACGTCTATTGTTTAAATCTAAATAAGAAAAAAATTGATTTTGTTTTCGAATTGAACAATAAGTTTGGCAACCCCTTTTTAAAAATGTATTATTTAAAGGTACCATCTGAGTTCTTTTTTTTACTTCATCTCTCTTATTCCTTTAATATTCCACCACACGCTTCGTTATTTCTAACTTTGGTACAACGATTATTATTTTCATTTACTGATGGTAACAATTATCGGTCTTACAAGAATTGTACACACATTTTTTCATTGTGTATAATATGGGTTAGGTATCCTAATATAGCACTCATAATAAAAACCACAAATTTACTAAAACTTACAATTACGCAGTATTTAAACTTACTAAAACTCACAATAACGTATTCAACGAATACAGTGACACCGTAACTGAATGCCGAACTGTTGACAATCATCATGTATTCACGTTTGTATCTCTACACAAAAATAAACATATTTTGCCATGTCATGAATAGCCATAATATGRGAAAATACACACATTGGCCCGGCAAACATAAGGACTGGTCAAATATCAGTTGTAGATCGCACATTCGACCGGTGCCTTTCTTATTCAAATTTAATCCTAGGCGTCAGATAATAATAATTAATATGTATATGTATATATATTGTAAAATGTAGAGACTACATTCTATAAAATGGTGGTAACTATAAAATTCAAAATGAAAATGTTTAAATATAATCAAGTAGGTTTTTTTCTCTTTCTTCGCCATCTCACYCAAATAATTGGGGTCGGCCACCTTGATTTTCAATTTCCACTTCTTAAGATTCTTATCATCCTCCTCTCAAACCACAGTCATTCTCATATTTTTAAATAATTTCGTCCATACTTTAATATTGATACCTATYGTAATTTATATCTATAAAACTATCGAAATTATACTAAATATACGTCACAGTCTGCGATTGTTGTTCTGGGAGGCTATTTAGAAACTCATAGGAAAATATCCGTATACGAACGATTCACACGATTCWTTTTCGTATACGAATGGAAAATAGTATTCACAAAACATTTATATTCGCATACGAATCTGTGATCCGTATGGGAATAATTTTTCCACGATGAACAGCGGCAACGTCGCAAATTTTTATTTTTATCATGGAAGAAAAAACTATTTGTATTGTGTACGTAACATTTCCCGCATTTTAATAAACCTTTGCTCTTTTTTCTGTTTTGACCGTTAATTCGATGTTTTCTTCAAATATCAAAATGTCGGTTGAAAAAAGATTTAAATCAAAGTCGGTGAAAAACGACCAAAAAGCAGCTATGGTCGATTTTTTTAAAAATCACGAGGAATTGGCTAAAGGGAAACATTCCTCCACCTTCACACAAGCCATAGCCAAACAGCAGTGGGAAGAACTATCGGGGGTATTAAATTCAATTCCGGGCCCTATAAAAGACTGGAAGGCCTGGCGCCGGGTAAATTAAAATATTTRATGTTAAAAAGTATCTACCTCTCTTAATTATTTTTTGTTGCATAATTTCCCTAAAATGGCGTTTAATGTATTTTCAATTTATATTGAACTTTAAATTTAATCAGTACACTACACAATATAATGCAATAATATAACATACTTATATTACTAATATKCAATGATTAAAATAGCACAAGGAATACAATATTTATTAGTAAAAAAAAAAACCTACCTACGTTTAATCTACGGGATATAACTCATCATTTTTCTTTGGTGGAGTTATAGCAATATGTATACAATTAATAACACCAACAACTCCTTGTAAGCCATACTTTGAAAACAATCTGAGAAATCGATAATTGATATCAATTGTAATGAAAAATTAATGATTTAAATGTTTAAGCTAAGAATTTTGAGTTGTACCTAGTACGCACATCGTCCAGCTCACTGAAATTTCTAGGAAAATTAACAAATTTATTAAATATAGCCGGATTGGAAAACGCATTCATCACTTCTTCAATMATTCTACTGACTGAAGGTTGAGACACAGATGCATGTCGATTTTCACAAACATCCTGGTAACTTCCAGCAGCAAAAAATCGTAAAGCAATAATAACCTAAAATGGTATCTGGTCACTTCCCCGTCTGACATTTCCCTGTCACACGTTTCCCCGTATCCACTTCCCTGTAAGATATTTCCCCGTCTAATACGTTTCCCCGTCCATATTGTATTTATTTCTGAAATATTCAAACTATACCGAGATCATGTAAATATAATAATATGTGTGATATAATTAGTAAAATATAAGTAATAAAAATACAAAAAAAAATTATCATAAAATATTTTAATGTAGTAGTTCTAAATTATGAGCGATTCTAATTAAGTACTCATCTAGATCACGTTCATCATATCTAATATTTTCTATACGCCTAGCAATATCTCGATATCTTTTCTGTTCCGATTATTTATTCCAAATATCCTTAAGTGTTATGATATTATCTACATTATTGATACTTTTTACATTTTTATATTTATAGAAACATTGAGTTTATTACTAAACCACAGGACACTGTAGATTACAATAATTTAAACTCGACTGGTAGCCAAAGTATTTTGGGAGGTACTAAATCACACAGAAACGTCGGAAACATACTTTTCTAATTCAGGGAATGGTAAGAGTATCATGAGTACTTAATATATTTAACAGGGAGTGCAGTATAATTTGTATTAAAATCGATTTTGAACATTTAATAGAACACCAAATTATTTTTAAGGCAAAGAAATAAAAGAAGGTAATGGTGTATGGACTGAAGGAATCACTAAATTTATGTTGGAAAAATATTCAAAATTTATGAGTTATGTCGGACCCATGAAAAAATTTAAGAACAAAAAATCTATGTGGATACAAATAGCTTCTGATATTCAAGAGGAATTAAATGTAGATTTCTCTCATATACAAGTAGAAAACCGTTATAAGACAATTTGTAAAAGAAAAAAGTCCATAATTGACAATAACAAAAGCACAGGGGCATCACGAATGGACGATGAGTATGAAGAAGAATGGAGAGAAATAACTAACAATGATGATAGCATATTGCCAGAAGTATTACGCAGTGCTAAAACAGTTGTCATTAACAAAAAAGATTGTTTATAGCCAAAACAAAAAAAAATTAGAAAAGACAACAACGAAACCATGTTATTAAATTTTCTTAAGGAAAAGGAAATTGCAAAAGAAAGGCGCCATAATGAAAAAATGAATCTCTTAAAAAGTCTTTTAGGAGATAAATATATAGTCCCATGTCGACCGTTGTCCATGAAACATCGTTCGCTACTACTCCGTTCAAATTTTTTTTT